TGGCGTTGACCTCCTTACAGCCATCAAGATGTCTAACCTGACTGGAAAATACATCCTAGTGAAAGGAAGAAAGCCTTCGGTGCGGAGTTATTTATTAAGAAATGCCAACTGACCAGTTACAGACTATTGGACAGGGAAGCAAAACTCTCATATGCATCTTATTTACAAAAACTGAATATCCATCTTCTCTTGAACGCGTCTTCCTGCACTTTCCTGGATATTCAAGCAAGTGCTACAAAGCGACTCCACAAATTCCGCAATAGATCTCCCTTTTCAAGAGACGCAAAGCGAATTTACAAGAATTTACTCGCATACCTCCCTCATCAGTAGTATCACCGTTACACTAGGACATGAATCGCATAAAGCCAGGACTGATAAAGGATGGCATGACATGCGATACTTCTAGTACATACCTATGAGGAGTTCGATAGATCGAGCTGGGGAAATCCCAATAAAACGGAGGTGTGTGCTTGCAAGGTAGATGTCGTTGGACAAAAAAACGACTCGGTTCAGATAAGCTTATCCACTTACCCAGTAATGCGTACACTTTTACAGTCGAAAAAAGACCTACTGAGGAGATTACAGACATGTATCAGAACATGTCCCTATCTGAATTCTGATCATAAGACTACAAGGTCAGGTGTCACAAGAGCGTAAAAATGTACATGCTCTTGTAGAATGGTTTTCGATAATCCGCTCTCCCTCCATTGAGTTTCAGATAGCTCAGTGGTTGAGGGACGAAACGCTACTGACCAGAAACTTGGTGGTTCGGACCCAAATCTGATATTCCGTTTGGCTCTGTCTAGTCTTTGTCCCCGTAGTTTCCTATGTTGGCATGGCAGCTGTGTACCATATGTGTGTCACGCAGCTGCACCGTTATCAATTCCTGTTATCTTTTCATTAGTATGACTAGTTTTCCGACATTATCACCACAAGTATACAGCCTGTAGTATCGATTACCGGTGTTCGTCTTAAGAGGGTTAACTGAACTTGAATGGTGCATTTTGATTGGAGGGAGGGAATAAAATTTGTCGCGTTAGTCTGCCGTCTGGTTAGGATGAACGTTATCATCATGGGGACAAACAGGTTTACCAAATCACTGGATACGATCATGTCGTGCGAGATTCTATCCCCAAACTCTTCTCTGTCCAGCCAAAATTATGTATCGATTTTCCTCTTATGTGTTGACCAGTATTCCCGCTCTTCTACGACTTTGAAAAGCCACGCAGATTCGGCCCTGTCATAGTGGAAACTGGATGGTACTTTGAATAAACAAGCTCAATCACAGTGATCGAGCGTCTTCGTGCGTACCTCATCAGATTTGATCATCAGCTGGAAACTCAGTCTGGATTTGCTCAACTCGACGTACGACACGCCTAAACCCAGGGTGGAATTGCCCTATGTGATCATTTGAGGTATCTAGGTGGAAGTTTACTAATGGATTACCGACAAACTAAAGTGATTCTTCTGAAAAACCCAACCTGTTTCGGACTCATCTATAGAAATGGAAGTACTTTCATGCATCTATCGATATCGGTTTTCATTGATTCCAGAGAACACTATTTCTTCACACAAAACCTCAGTCATTTTTGATTGAAAAAGATATACTGGATGTGGCTTTCCATCCATTACATCGGCCACCCACGTCAGCGCTGCCACTGGCGCCACTGACGTGCCCTATTTATCACCCGGGAACTGGCCAGGTGTCCGAACATCTTCTGGAATAATAGGTACCCATTAAGCTGGACTGTCATCCTACCAAATTAATTAATCAAGGCGAATCATCAGATTAGTCAGGGTCCAGCCATAAATTCCAGAAATCAAAGTCAATCAAGCAATTCTGAATCAGATGTTATGTCACGAACGAATATACGGATTGATTTGGCATAAACTCGACTGATTTATAGGAAGAGGCCACTACCATTGTAACGGTGGATACTACTGATGAGGCATGCGAGTAGCTTCTTCTCGAAGGTCCGCTTCCCGTTTCTGGAAAATTGAGGTCTCTCACGGAATTTGTGGAGTCGCTCTGTAGCATTTGATTGCATTTGAGTAACAGTCAATGATTATCCGGGAAAGTTCAGGAAGACGCGTTCAAGGAGAAGATGGATATTCAGTTTTGTAAACAAGATGCGTACGAGGGTTTTGCTCCCCTGTCCAATAGTCTTTAAGTGTTTACTTGGCGTTTCTCTAATAAACAGCTCCACAGTTAAGGCCTTCTTCCTTTCACCATAGGACCGATAGACTGAGGAATTCTGTCTGGGTACCGCAAAGTATTGCAAACTTCACGGTGTTGAGTCATCGAACCGAGAGCGACGATGTCATCATTTCGCTTTCATTTCTGCACCATAATCTTCACGTGTCTTGAACTCTTAACCTGATCCTGTCGCCATTTGTAGTTTGGCAGGGTTCAGTCGCTGGTGGATCAAGCTTACCGGCACAGACGAGAGAACTGTCTCAACAGTCCTCAAATTATATTCAGTCTGCCCACTTTTTTATCGTGATAAACTTTCGCAAATCAGAATGCTCATACGGAGTGTGGTCGATTTCCCCAACATTTGTTCTCGTTCTGAACGGAACGATTGGTTTGGATAGAATAAGCAGAGGAAAGGTAGCGCTACCAGACAATATACTGGTGATTTTATCCCATGAAGGAAACTACTCATAAGATTGCTAGAAGCTCTTCGACAGAAACCTTTTGATTAGTTTCCATCATGAAAACAGGCTGCGATGTTTTGAAAATCCGACCAACTGAAACATGGGGTGGCCCTTTCGCAGCACATTCAGTTGAAGAATAACATAAACAAGAGGTTCGGCTGGAATTTAGGCGAGTTTACCAACTGAACATGGGGTGGCCCTTTCGCAGCACATTCAGTTGAAGAATAACATAAACAAGAGGTTCGGCTGGAATTTAGGCGAGTTTACCATGAAAACCAAACGGGTAGTTGACGAATATATGGGTGATTGTTGTGTCTGCTGATTCGCCAATCCAATGTATCTGCTGCTGATCCGCTCCAGTTTCTAACTGCCGAAAAAAAGACTCACGGAAGGGAACGCAACAGCTATATCCCGAACAAGCGAGTGCGTGTGGGTACAAAAGTACAACGTTCTCAAGCTATCTATTGGAAGGATACTGTCTGAACTTGGTCCAATGCTAACGCACGCACACTGGATTTGGTACGAGGCTGCGAAGTGCTGCATATTGAGGGGGCGTTGTCTGTCTGGTCAACATCTAGCGGAGCTGAGAGTCTCAGTAGATTTCGGGCATTCAGTGGCTACTTTCAGGAAGCTGAACTTCCTGATAGTGATATATATTCCCATTTCAAATATTATAGGAAAAGGAACATTTTGTATTTCAATGACTGCATTCCAGGTCAGATTTCAATCGGTTGTTAGTCTTGAGGAGGCTAACAAAAGAACGCATACACTAGGTTTGAGCTTCTCACGTGCCATCGGAAAAATTTAGGCTGTTCGAAACTTGCGCCTGATCAGATCACATTGAGGAGATGGTGCCCCGCGCAGTTCATTTTACCGAGGTCAAGCAAACGTCTAATTTGTGGTACACCATGATCCTGACAAGTATGGGTGGCGCAAAGGCACAGAATTCATACGAGGATCCCTTCGTAATCGAAAGGCCCGCCCAGCCTCAAACGCTGTGTCGAAAACACGGCAGTGAGTACAATGCCTACGGGGACCAGTAGAGATGATACTGGAGGAATCCACCAATACACAGACGAACCATGAGAAAAATGCACTTTCCCAGAATACGGGCATTTTTGTCCCGGTCCCGCAAAATTTTCATTCGGGTGACAAACAAAACATGTGAGCCTTCGACAACGGACAACAAAATATCGACAGTTTCTGTCCTCTGCCGAGACCATTGTGCTTTAGGGAACGCAAATCACCTGTCAAAGCACGGTGGGACAGCACGTCTGGACTCTCAAGTTACCCTGACTTGCTACATTGAAGGTATGGTGGTTTCTGATTGGTGGAGGCATCAGACATACAGTCCCATGAATTTGTGTGGCAGGGCAAGCGACGAAAGCTATTGGTGAAGGTGGACTCAGCGGTGACTGCTCCGATTGGTCGAATCGAGGGAGCCAATCAGAACACAGGGATGTTAACGCTCCCTATGAAAGTGTTGTCGGAAATAACCACCACTTTGCTGTATTGAGAGAAGATGGGCACTCGACTCTTTCAGATGCAAGACGCAAATAGTTCCCTATGACACGGCTAAAAACTCTGATAGCTCACTATCAGTTTTGCTGTCGTCCTTACTCGCAAGATGCAAAGATATCAGCTGAAGGGAAAAAACATCCTAATGAGTCACTCCGGGCAATCATAACGATCAGTAAAGCAGCTGTGGAGAACTACGAAAACTAAAGGTACCAAATAATCTAATGAATGAGCAAGGGTTTTCGTTCGAAAGATCCAGGTGGGTATAACCATGTGAGAAGACAAGTTACCACTAAAAACTGGCTCAGATACTGAGAAAATACTTCGGAGCCCGAAAACATCAGCTTGCTTCGGAGAAGCAGTCCGTCAGACTAAGTCAAGTAAAATAGAGGGGGCTGGGTGGTCCCTATTAGGGGGAACACTTCAGACCTCAGTCCTCTCTTTGTCCGGAGGCCAGCCGCACCTAAAAACCGGAAAGCACGTTAATTGGACAAATGTGGCACGTGCGGGCTACGGACAAAACGAGGGCGCCCCCTGATTGGTCAGATACCAGCCAATCTGGATCGGGCATCTTTAGCTCGACGCTTCTCGCCCCCTCATGGAGATGCTAGCACGGCCTTGTGGAACAGTCATAATAATCTTCCTGTCTGATGTTACCGTGCCTTTTGGTACAACATAGTGGGCGGAGCAGAAGACAAGGACCGACGCGGAGTTGCACGACCGTTCAGTGAGCCACAACAATTTTCGTCTACGTTTCACGTGGTTAAATGGCGCTTGGTTAGCCAGAATTCCCTTCAGTATAAAAGATAGCGAATAGGGACATACAAGAGTCCATTGGGAGAACAATACAAAGAAAATCGATCACCTAAAAACGTAGAAAAATGAGCAACAGTTCTAAGTAGGAAATGAAGAGTGTAAGAAACCCACTGTACAAAAAGAAAGGAGCAACTTGAGAAGAGAAGAGAATGACGCAGATCAAAATATATTGGTGAGCAGGACAAGTTAAGGAGGACGTCCAGAAGGGCATGCTAACAAGGAACACATGCGCCAACAGCTACGACGTAGGAACAGAGTCAACTTTCTCCAGACGGCGCTGAAGTTTGGCGGTGAGCTCGGCAGAAATCAAAGATGCGTGTTGCTCCGGTCGGATATCACAACAAGGCGAACCAAGTCCAGCGTCCTACGTCAGAAAGGAGGAAGTTGGAGGGGAAAAACCAAGATTAAATGGAAATTGAATACAGAACAATAAAATTTGTGGCAGAAGGAGAAATCGACTGACGGAACGTACCGGTTTCCCAAATTGTCGTTTTTCAATGATTTCGCGTTTCCATTGAGGTATCTGACCCCACTTTTGCAGTTCCATCTGAAACGGATGTGGTAGATGACTGAGCTTCGTATAAAGTATATCGACTTGAGTCCGTCACAAAACCTGGTAACCCCCCGAGTACATTGGGGTACCCCACAGGGTCGAGCTACTTTCAAGTTACATCTGCATCGGATGTGCGGTGCTAACGACTACCGTTCAGATGTCATTTTCTAAAACGATGAGGTTAAGATCCCCGAAAAAAAACTCAGAAGTGAACTGATTAAAATTTGTCAGACTGCGATGCAGTCGGAGCGAGCTTGCAAAAACTGGGGTGCATTTGTTTGCGCAAAAAACATCCTATTTACTGCATTTGGGCACAAAAGTCCCACCGAAACCGGACTCAGGAAAAACGATTCCAACAATATGTGAACGGGGCGGAGCAGATCGCTCGAATTACGACTAAACTGATCACGCAGCCGAACATTGTGGTATTGATTAGCGAAAGAGACCGGAGATTGTCTTACCGCGTACGCATCGGCTGCCTCTCGATTCTTGCGTTCAAGCTTCTGTAGTTTCCAGTCTGGTAGATTTCCAACACAGATCGGTTGATAGCCTGGAATTTGATTGGCATCGACTGGAATGAATCAGAGTAGACACAGGCACCGGTCAACCAACGGTATAATTGAGGCAGAACAATTTTTAAATGGCTGTGTACGTGTTATCGCTAGTTCCACCGTCTGATCAGAGATGCCAGTCGCACTCGAGTAGAAGAAAGTCCAGCAAAATACTTCTATTGGTTCCGAATGTTTCAACTTGAAACCCGTTCCGGGGGAGAAAGAGCATTCGATCACATACTCACAAGACGCTTCATGGTAAGTCCCGTAAGCGGAGTCTATCACACATCTATTTGAGACGCTGCGATTCTAGTAGAGTGAAGAAAGGTAATTCGTGGTGTAGTACGTCGTGGTGTACGTCGCTGTTCGAATTCCGCGCATGCGCGGAAAAGTGATCAACTGAGACAGCGAGTCGAACCAACGGTGTTGATAGCAATCATTTGCTTTGAAAAACCACCATCACGGGGTAGAGTTCATTGAAATTGTCGGACGCAAACAGAAGAACGTGTCCGTGGCTAAACGTTACGAGGTGGCTGTTCGCGGTCAATTCTTTGAAGTATACGCATACTAGTGGTGTATGCACTTGTCGAAAAAAACATGTGACGGTTACATCCAGTTTGGACTGTGTGCGGAGCGTCGGCGGGAAACTTGGTCTATACAGACACACACACACACACACACACACACACACGTCCGCGGAGCGTAAACCTTCAGTTCCAGTTAAAAAAGGCGTCGCACTTAGCGAAATATACTCATTTGCAAGCAAATTTGGTTTTGCGAGAGACTCACCTGGAACTAAGCTGAATCTCTCGTTTGTGATGTTTCCATGCGACTGAATGTGCGGCACCAGGCCGCCTCATGTTTCAGTTGCTATGATTTTCGAGATATCGAGATGCATGTATACTCGTAATGCACTACTCATAGGGTTGCTGAAAATTCTTCGATAGTTCATGACCGGTTTCGTTGTTCTTGGGGCTCATCAGGTTGTGGGCGGTCGAAGAACTTTCAGCAACGCAGAGGCGGACAAAGAAGAAAAAACAATCAGGCTGAAGCAACGAAGCTACTAAAAAATAGAAGACGCCGTCACAACCAAGCAGACTCAAGGAAGGAAGACCACAACGAAACACAAACTGGGAACGGACCACCCGCAAACAGACCCGAAGCCATCCAACAAACCAATGGAATAAGAGGCATACAGACCACAACGCAGCAAAACAAAATTAACGTCGGTCCTGCCATGATGCAACAGAAGGCATACATCAACTAGCCAATCACACGACAGGATATTAGATACTCTACAAAAGACTACGTAAACGAGCTAGGCACGAAGGAAGCACCCATTCAACTGCGCACTGACGATTTCTCCTCGACTGGAGACGAAACGTTTGCAAGCCAATTGCCAAGCTCGGCGAACAGATCAACTGCCATCTGATCAACCACCAGCAACTTTCAGCAACCTTAAGAGTAATGCATTACATATATACTTTATCGCGATACATCAAATATCGTACCAACTGAAACATGAGGCGGCCTGGTGTAGCACATTCAGTTGCCTAGACACATCACAAACGAGAGATTCAACTGAGTTCCAGGTGAGTCTCTCGAAAAAAAAACAAATTAGTTTGCAAATGAGTGTATATTCGCTAAGTTCGTGCAATTCGGTTTCAAGTAGAACATAAGGTTGACGGAAGCTCGGGGACTGCGCCTATCTGATGAGTCTCAAGAAGGGCGAAGGCGTCACATTCATCATAAACTGTCGCCATGGTAACAACCCAGCCACACCCGTATTGAGACCATCATGACCTCATACGACAAAACATCAGAGTGAAGCGAGAGAGTAATGAAGAAAAGGAGAGACTGTGAACCGGAAAACCAAACCTTTAGCACAGCTAAAATGATCGCCAGCTGCATCAATAGTGCCACGGATACAAATGCATCGATCGATCACCACCATCATCACAGAAACGTGAGTATTCATGTCGGAGAGTACTATTAGAATAAAAGTGGATTGAATGCAGCAATTGAGTTGATCTCTTGGGTTTAATCTGGCCAACGCTCGTGTGCTTACGGGACACTTAGGGGTTCGATGCAAGCGAGGTCCCCAGCATTCCTTTGCGAACAACATCAGTTAGGATCGCAGTGGTACGGAGAGTCCGATGCACCATCTACCACGGTAGATTATCGATGACCAATGGAAGAAAATCGATTCCGCTGTTCAACGATTTCGTTATGCCCGGTTTATTTTAGTTTATAAGCCAAACTCCAGTGGTTGGATTGTTTCCTTGCGGTTATTATCTTGATTTTCGCACGTTTACCGTTTTTGCCTCGTTTTTTGACTCGACGCTTCTCGCCCCCTCACGGAGATTCTAGCACGATCTTGTGGAACATGCTGTCAATGCCCTATAAACACGGTTGTAATAATTTTCCCTCGTCTCCATAAAGGGCTGTAAAGAGCTACCGTGCCTTTTGATATACCATAGTGGGCAGAGCACGAAGCCAAGGGACCGTCCAGCAAGACACAACAATATGGTTGCAAGTGGGCTCTTCATTGGAGGGATTGGGAGGGGAGATATGCATAGAAAGCAATAGATTGGATGCACAAGCGCCATTGATCGCGCAACTGGGCCATGTCTGACAATGTCTCTAACCATTGATGTTAGCCACCTCTGGTTCCTCATCCAAGGAGACGGCAATGAACAGCACCTGGAGGGATTTAATTATATCAGTGAAGTTGATCTATACTAGAAGGCCGAGAACTAATGCAATGACGTTTTGTCCATGCTGACGACCATGAGCTGTGTGCATCTCACGGATTTCTGGAGAGATCCGAATTTGAGGACCTCCGGTTGGTAGCCGAACACTCGACTACAAATGACCTATCAGCGCTGTGATCAACTGGCATTGAAAGGGGAAAGTTAACGTCGACTGATCTCGCGCTGGGCGCGGCGTTTTATTTGCGTTAGCAAACTGATCATGAACGCCTCCGACTGCCATATGTAATTGCGTAATTGTGAAACAGGATGGACGAACAAAGCAATCCCAAAAGCATGTTTGGTTCTAACTTAATGAGACCCAGTAACTGGACGCGACAGACAGGCGGTTGAGTTAGCTCCCAGCTACGTGTCAAGCCGCAGTGACTGAACGGGAATGAAAAAAATTGAGCGAAACAAAAGTCCCCTCACAAAACCTTCCTTTTACTTCGGTAAATAACAAGAAAACATGCCTCAGCAGTGCGGTTTTAGGTGACTACAGAGACAGATAGCAAGTCAAGAAGGGAACCAAGCAAGTAGGCAAACTAACCTATATTGTATCGCAGCAATGTATCCAAGGTTGTCGGGTCCAATCGAAGACATTGAATCGGTCGAAAAGCTGTAAACAAAGCGGCGATCCATAGTTAATTAGGGCGAATACGCTGGTTGCCGAAACAGCAAATTATGTAGACCTGGGCTGCAAGGCAACAAAAGAATATTTCTACGAATCTGTGCGACCCATTGAATTTACTGGCCAACCTGTGAATTCTACAGTAACCTCTCAAGAATGAACACAGTGAGAAGGAAGGGTTTTTGGCCTTCGGAGGGAACACAAACTAGGCTACGTCTAATAAGGAACGCTTTTAGTTAGCCCAGAGGGAGGTGACCCCGTTGGGGGTACGAGACTCGAATGAATAGTAAACACATCAGGATGCGTTGAACAAGAGATATTTCCAAAGGGCACAACACTAGAAAACATCTATTGGAGTTCAGTCACGAAGGGATACCGTCAGCCCCCCCCCCTCACACACCATACAAATAACATCAACAGCAGACCATCAACTGAGAAACTTGATGGTAGAATGGACGAATGGTTACCTTGCTCTCCAGATTGACTCGTGGACAACACGCGAGTACCAGTGTGGGAGGATAACTGTGATTCCGGTAGGTCAGCCGAACGCGAGGATCTAAGACCGAGAAGAAGGGAAGGAAAGAAATAAAAAAACATATCAGGACAGCTGCCAACGAGCACAGAAGAGGATCTGATCTTCACCGGTCAACAACGGACGCCATGATACTGTACTGGTCGTTACAACTTGCGATATCTGAAAGAAACAACGCGCGGTAATCTTCCATAGGGCATATCATCATTAGAAAATGGGAATTCAGTCACCCGGACCGTGTATCAGGCGGACCTTTGGTGTCGTTCCTTCCTATTTAGTTTCATTCCCTCGTTCCCATTCCCTTCACCCGAACGAGAGAGCTCAATGGTTCAGCCTGCTGACCGAAAGATCCCTGGTTCGAACCCAACCCCGCATCTCGTCATGTGTAGAGTTGGACAACCTGGTATCTCAGTCCTTATGATGCATTCGTAAGGTGTGGCAGCTGAACACCGAAAGGATGTTTCAACTGAACGGAGCCGGACTGAATCGATTATCTGGATGCGCCGCACAAAGGCTACCTCATGTTTCGATTGGTACGATATTCAGATATCCTGCCAACCGAACACACTACTCATAAAGTTGCTCAACTCTTTTCGACCGGTTTCGTCCTTCTTGGGTTTCATCAGATGGGCGCGATCTTCGAGTTTTCATTAACCTTGGAATCTACGTGAACATCACATTATACGCCACTGGCGAAATTGGCAAATTAACTGACTCAAGCGGGATTTTACTGAGTCTAGCGTTAACATCAACTTGCAAACGTATGTAGTTCGCCAATCGCAGACAATTTGATGTTCAAGCAGAACCCAACCCGGAGACTGCGCCTGGCTGATGAGTGCGTACAGGGGTAGAACCAGTCGGGGACCGCCAGTTACAGAAACCTTGTGAGTAGTATATTCCGTCATAAAAATCTACCAATTACTTTCGAACTACGTACTATTTGAGTAACTGCCTCCGTCTAAGTTCCAGGTAACTCGACTCCTCACGTCCGATACCACAGTTTTTACATAACGCATTGGGAACACATGGGGGGAATCACTAAATGCATTGTTGTATGCGTACAATGGTCCGATTCATCTATAGCATCTGACAAATTCAGCGAATGGCAGGTCAATAGTTTACGGAAAGGCAACAGATGGTAACCTCATCAATCAGCTGTAGGATGGGAGCATAATTTCATGGATGACCTTCACATGTTTACAGTTCTTGTAATTCGGTCAGTTTGGAGGTCGTCCACGATTTGACTAGTGCACGCCTCGTTCCAAATTACCGCGTGACCTTTCGAACAGAGATGGAACAAGAATGATCTCATCCTATATGGGTCTAGGCGTCACGGAGTAATTAAAGGTGTGTCAAGAGCAGTGTGTTCCTGTTCAGACAGGAAATGTGTCTGATGAAGTCAGTGTAAAAATTTCAAAAGCTGGAATCGCGGTTGTTAACTTACGTCACCGGTGGTGTCAAAAAGGCATCTCACCGGATCTTAGGGGTCACGTGTACCGGGCTACGGCTGACGTCAACACAATCCAGGCCAAACCAGACTTCACCAAGGTGGACTTCGATTGGATGCCGTGACCTTAAATCAATTTGTTGTGTGCGTCCGCAGCGTAAATGTTTCTGCCTACGCGACGGCCGCGTAGTTTATTTAATTTAGTCCTGTTTCTTTACGCAGATCCAATGCGCCGCTTGTGCTTATCGATGATGCATGAATCCATTCTAGCATTCCAAGGGACAGTAAGTACAATGTGGCATTTGGATGGGATCACGGCTTGCGCCAGGCTTCACCACAGTATGTGGCATGTTAGAGAGTGTAGCAGCTCTTTCACATGGTACCCGTCCTTTAGGTCTGTGGAAATTGGGGACCCGTGAAGTGCGGAAAAGGCATGAAGGAACAGACGTTTGGGTACGAAAACGGTGCCCATTAGCCGCACAATGCTCTCAGTTGCAAACAGTTTGCACCAAAATGTTGCATTTTGTGCTCAAACCAAACACCGTCCTAATCTGCGCACACATTTTTACAGCTCACCAAATTTCACTGTCCACTGAAGCGATCATAACTCTGGCGGAAAAGTCTGGTGAAATAATTTCTCAGCATCGCTGAGACCCCGGGATGTCTAAATAAGGCTCAAAAGTGTGGACTGGAACCCTTAACTCAGTTACCCGCCTGGTCTAATTCATCAGGAGCACGCCACAGCTGTCGAAAATCCCAATCCATTGTGCGAATACTGAGAACCGTCAGGTTGCGGAAATGCAAAGTCACGTCGTTCGAAAGAGAGGACGCGCTTGTGAGCTTAGTCGAGTGCTTCGTCTAAATTCAAAACACGTGAGATGTTTTGCGCTCAACTATGGGTTAAAGGTTTAATGGTGAGTGAGTGTGGAGCAACATTTTTCCTTTCCGCTGGAAGGTGTCTGTCCCAACCGCAATTTTTCGCCAGTGATTAAAAAAGACAGGATAATAAATAGCACCCACTCGCCAGAGATTTTTAGAAGGATTTCGCCACTGTTCAATCGAATGAAGCACTGTACTTTAGTGGAGGGGGCTCTCACAAATGAGTGGACAAAAAAAGACCTGAGCACTTTGGTAGCCGCTCAAAACTCAAGAAGAACAACACCAATACATTCATCTGCATATCGATTCGGTTTACACGGGAGACCCACCAGGAACCCAGCTGAATCTCTTTGATGTTCAAGTAGAACATATGGCTGACAGAAACACAGTGACTGCGCCTAACTAGTGAGCCCCGAGAATGGTCAAACCGGTCGTGGGTTGTCGAAGAGATGTCAGCAACCTTAAGGATAGTGTATTACGTCTATCCAACACTACTTATATAGCCCATTCACTATCTGCTTCGTTGTTTTGGAACTCGCCCGGTAAGCTCTAGTTTCCGAATAATAGTAAGTTCTTGAACATCACACTGGACGAGTGTGGAGTGAAGCACTCACTCACTTGCAAATTAGGGTAGTTGCTGTGTCTTGCTGAATAGTAGTGCAAATCTTTATCAGTCCCTTGGCTTCCTGCTCCGCCCACTATGCTTTATCAAAAGGCACGATAGCTCTACACATCCCTTTATGGAGACAATCGGAAATTATTACAACTCTATATATAGGGTAATCACAGAGTGTTCCACAAGGTCGTGCTAGAGTCTCCATGAGGGGGCATGAAGAGTTGAGTCAAAGATGCTCGATCCGGATTGGCTGGCAGTCTGACCAATCAGGGCGTGCCGTCGTTTGGTCCGTGTCCGGCACGTGACACATCCGTCCAAATGATGGGATGTTCGGTCATTAGGGACGGCTGGCATCCGGACCTCTGGTTTACGGCATTCTTCACCCAACTGAGAACTACAAACACTCTAACATCTGGAACATCATCCCGACTGAAGTATGCGCAAACCATTGTACAAAACATGCATTCCAATCTATTCATTTGAAACTAAATGTTGAACTCCATGTACCAGCGAATCCCCATGAGAGATAACTCCACATAAGAGAAGGCCGCATCGGACAGTGGGTGTTCCCATTGAAAATGAACTACCGCACACGATAATGAATGAAGAGTAAACTCACTTTGGCATCTGCTGCCGTCGTGGGTCATTCGATCGATGTGTGGGAGAGCAACGACCAAAGGAGACGCCGATACCACCGAAATTCTGTAATGTTTCAAAGACATGAAAAAACCTTGTCATCAGTTACTTTGAACTGGGACTGGAGAAAGTGGGAAATCAAACTAAGGAGAGCACGTAGGAGAGAAAGAATGAAGTGTGAATTGTATGACGCCTAGTTTAGAGGAAACGAAAGCGGAAAAACGGATAATTAGTTTACGGCGTTCCTTCTGCGGCGATTCAGCGTCGGGCCTACTCCCCAAATCCACCGTGCTTTACTTCACTTCTGAGATTTCCTAAAACACATAGTACATGATCGATTGATACGTGGAGAATAAGATCATTCGACAAGAACACAGACATCCCACAAACCGTTCCACAGTCAGTCAGCGATCGATGTTTGTAATTCTGGTTTGTGATCTAATCAATCACTCAGTAAGGTCATGCCCCTCCCCCGAGTTGTCACATTTATCGTCCTTGCATATGGTTTAAGGTCTTCCACATTTCATGCCATCTGTTCCCCAATTACTGCTTCTTGATGAGGTTGAAAAAAAAATAAATCGTCCAGCTGTAGCACCCTTCCGGTGCACAACTGCCATGCCACTCGGGGGCTGGGATACTGCCAGGTTGCCCAAGCCTAGACAGGGAAATTCGAGAGGCAAAGATCGGATTCGAACCACTGACCTTGCGGTTAGTAAATTCGCGCCATCTCGGGCCAGCTCGCCCGGTGAAGTTGAAGTCAAATGCGAGGACAATCAGCGTGTGCCGCATGGTTTGGCATGCGTTCCACACCTGTAAAGTGTAAAGTGCTGCTACAAGACTGTGTGCAATCGAACCCACACATCACGCTTGCAGACGAGCCTACCGACGTGGTAAATAAATTTATTTACCTGGGCAGTTATATAAGTTCCGGTGGACTGGCTGGAGATGAGATTACTTCTCACATCGAGAAGGCCAGGGCAGCTTTTGCTAACCTCCGATATTTATGGCACCGACGCCAGTTTGTCTGTCAAGCGAAGGGTTTACACAATGGCAGTAAAATCCATACTACTTTATGCATCAAGGCCGTCACCTCTGCACAAGGAGCATGCGAAAGATGTCAGTGTTTGACTTTAGTTGTCTCCGAAGCATTGATCAGGTCTGGTGGTAATCTCGGATTAACAATGCTGAGGTACATCTGATGGTCCTAGGAAGAAGGAACTCTCGCACGATAGATGAATTACTCACGCTTCATTGGTCGCGCCAGTTAGGGTATCTCCTTCGCCTGCCAGGGAACCGGCTGCCTGGAAAAGCTCTTCTCGCCCAGTGACCCAGCGGTGAAGAGGGCATGACATGGCAACGAAACATTAAAGCACAACTTTCGCCTCCATGGATAGGGCTCCGAGAGCTCAAATCACGACTGGATAATGGCAGTGGGAGAAATCGCCCGATCACGCAGTCGGTGATGCGTGCATTAACGCCATCGCCCACAATACGTAGCAGCTGCCCGGTTCCCGGACTAACTGACCTCTTATGCTTGGCTGCAGCCGCTTCAAGACAGTGGTACTTAACGGGAGACCACTAGAATGATGTATAGTTCAAAGCACGTAGCCGTCCAATACGAAACCTTTACACTACGGGACTAATACACTGTATACATGGAACGCGCGTCGCAGGTGAATCCTGGTTTACGTAGGCATAACGCAACTACAACCGTGCTCTTGTTCACGAAAGTAAGCTCAACCTCCTCACACAATGACGTACATCTGAATGGCAGCTGGGACCACAAAAAACACAACAGGGTGGTGAATCCACAGTCTGGGACAACATTTCGAGGTACCGTGTCGTTGGAAAGCCGTATAAGCTGTTAACGCTAATCGGCGTGTATAGCCAGCCAGAATTTCTCCACTGGTTCGGCTAGCAATGGATTCAAGAAGACCATCAGAAACTTTGTATCCAATCAATAGAATCACACGACCGCATGCTCGTAGCTGAAAAGAAACACGTAGTAGTGTGAGTGTCCGTGTTTCGACCACTTGCCTGATTCTGAGAGTCGTTTACTACCAGAGCGGGAGCAGCTACAGGATGGACCATGGATCGAAGGTTTTGTCCCTGAGTTGATGAACCATTCATCATGTGGCGGCCTGGCAACAGAGCCGTCCCCTGTGTGTTGGTTGTGACTGCGTTTGAGGCAGCCATAGCGGCAGAGAATTCTCGCGCCAGTTGTTGAACTGTTGGCAGAGGACTGGTGTCAGGACCATCGTCAAAGAACTGTGCTTTTGTGTGGTTCGGGTTCGTTGATCTGTTGACTGGCGCCTGGGAATCGGCCGAAGGAATCCCCTGGGAAGCTATTGTAAGGGTAGAAATGGAAAAAGGTTTAAGGAAAACGTTGGTCTCGAAAACGACTCCTGTGAAAAAAAAGTGACGAAAAAATCTACTTGTCCGGGTTTTCGCTACGCAGGAGAAAGTTGATAGATCCATCATCGATGGTAAAACCCGAAAAGCCACCTACACGTTAATGGCTATCCAATAAGCCTCAACTGGACTTACGAGTTGTACTGAAGCCCAGAATAATCATTCCAAGTACCAACTAATCAGTCCAAAGATTCGAATACCTGGCAGCTATGTTGAGGAGGTAATAAATAATAATATAATAATAATCGTCCAGCTGCCCTTCCGGTGCCCAGCTGCCATGCCACCCGGAGGAAGCACAAGGGATGGGATACTGCCAGGTCACCCAGGCCTGGACAGGGGAAGTCGAGTGACAGAGGTCGGGTTCGAACCACGGACCTTCCGGTCAGTAAATTCGCGATCTAACTACCTGAGCCATCTGCTCCCCTGGATAAGGTAAAATTGTCGATCGGATTCTGTGAAACATGTCCATTTGCCCAACTTGCCTTCAGGCGTGAGCGCGCTAGCAAAGAATGCGTGGCAAACGGGGGAGACGATCACAACCTCAAGTTCTTCAAAGGAGACCACCATTCTAGAGACATGTGAGCAGTGGGGTGTTGGAGAAACAGGTCAGCAAACTAGCTAGATCGCGTATTCGTCCTCGGCTCCCTGGGTCGGCTAAAAAGGTCTCGCCATTTCTCATTTAACGCTGTCTGTTCTGAAACAGCTGTTGTCATATTCATCGACGAGACTTTGCACACTGGCACACGTGGGTTCGTTCAGGTGCGAAAGAAAACCACCAGGAATCGGAAGCGAAATAGTTTGTCTCTCTGTGTGTGCGCCTTCTTATGGGATTTGTCGTGTGCCAGTCAGGCGGGTCGTTAACCCTTGGAGCAATCCCCAGTTTACAACATGTGTCATGACTGGCGTGTTTAGACGGAAGAAATACTAAAAAAGCAGAGTAGTCGGAACAGGGGATGCAACCAACTAGTGAAATATAGGCGAGAAACGAACGGTTTAACAGGCAGTGAGAAGTGTTTTGAAAACCAAACAAAGAGTTTTCTGAAGTTTCTGTCAACGGCGAATTTGCGGAGAGATATCCAACGGATTTTTTCAAAGAACACCCTAGTAGAAATGGTCGCATGCAGGGTGATGAGCCCTTGCAGACTAGTTCATACTGGTGTAACGGTGATACTACTGATGGAGAGGCACGCGAGTAGTATGTGTTGTTCGTGGAATTTCGCTTTGCTTTCTCTTCTGAAAACGAGAGATCTGTTGCGAAATTCGTGGAGTCACTTCGCTTGGATTTGAGCGAGGAATGATTGGAGTCAATGAATCTCCAGGAAAGTTCAAGAAGACGCGTCCAGGAGAAAATGGATGTCCAGTTTTTGAAAAGAAGATGCAAATTAGAGTTTTGCTTCCCTGTCCAGTGGTCTGTAACCGGTCAGTTGGCATTTCCTAATGAATAATTCCGCAGTAAAGCCTTCTTCCTTTCACCGGTAGTGTCTAAAATGATCACTGATAAAATATGTCGATGAGATTCACGATTGGGTTATGTAGACCAGAGGTTCTTCTGCCTGGAGAAGACATATTCGTGGGGCAAGATATAAGAGATGGAAAGAGTAGTTGTAGTGCCTCAGCTAAGTTCTCGACCTGAACATTTCAAGCTAGCCTCTCCGTCAAAATAACCAGCGAGGGTGCACAACATGCATTGGACACCCAAAAGCAGGTAAAGAACACATGTACAGTGCGTCGGATGTAAAGTGGACAGATGTAAAGGATAATAAGTAAGATAATCGTCCAGCTGTAACACCCCTTCGGTACCTAGCTGCCATGCCACCCGAAGGAAGTACGAGGGCAGGGATACTTCCAGGTTGCCCAAGCCTACATGGGGGGAAGTCGAGAGACATAGAACCACGGACCTTCCTGTCAGTAAATCCGCATCCTAACTTCTCAGCGATCTCGAACAGGTGTATACAATATTGTGGAAATTGCGACGCGTTCTGGATCTGACATTGACAGTCTATGCTTGGCGGATACTGAATCATGATTGGCTGTTGGGTCCACACTTTCGGCCAATCAGAGCTCGCCTTCGTGCTGGGACGGCAAGCGGCCTGATATTCTGACCAATCGCGTGTGCGATAGACGTCTTGGCCGTAGCAGCACCTAACTGTGAGCGACAAAACGGTTTCGATATGGGATTCCGTCTAACAGCTGTGAAGGATTTGACCAGGAACATTTATGTATGATGGGGTATGTTACCGGATTGGGGGTGTAAGGTAGACTCCCAACAGACCACACAAAGCCGCGTATGAGCAGCAGAGATAGATGTGTGAAATAGTCACAAGGTTGGGAGATTGAATTATCGAACGCGAAATGTGTAAGGCCGTCATTCGTGTGACTGGCAGGAATACAACAGCCAGAGTAGAGGAGAACTACATCGATTTTGATTCGAAAAATAACTTGACCCTGAAGGATTTGGTGCACTTTTTCCCGCGTCACGCCCTTCATTCAAAATAGTTCGTCTGCCAAACCGTGACAATATGAAGACACTTTGACGTCAGAATTTGGATAGTGGTTGCGAAGCATGCATTGACCTGAATCCTACCTGACAGCTGACGAAGCCAGTCACGTGGATAACCATGTGGATATAACCATCCCAACGCCAGTTTAAGCACCGAATACCTCTCTTATTTAATGAACTAAGCATGTCAAGAATCAAGATCTCATTCGCGCGAATTGCTAGCAAACTAGAAACTAGCATCCGATCGATAGAATTCTGACAAGATAAATAGTTCGTACTGGATTTTACCTGTTTACTCGTAATGATGGTGATCAGATTACGAATGCAAATAAGGCCAAAGTTCCTGAAAATGGGTGTACGGAAACGCGAACAAACTGTTTTCCCGCGCGCTCCTTTTTGTATCATCGATTACCGTGGAAACAAAGCACTTATCGGTGAGAGTGAACTGTTAAAACACCGCGAGCTGCGCGAAACAAGGGATGCATGAAACATACGTACCCGGTTGAACAACCTCGTTGTTCACATCGACATTCAAGCTTTAAGAACAAATGACAGTGCCGAATCAGTTCGTACAACTCGAAATGAACGGAATCCAGGAAAAGCACAACCCGCATCCTTTGATAAATAGCCTGTCAAGACTTTTGTCCTAATACTCCCCCACGGCATCAAGTGAAATTTCTCTAGATGGTGAAACACCAGTGAATATATATATATATATATATATATATATA